GGTACATAACAACAACAACATAGCTTCTTAGAGTTAGTCCAGTGCTTGCATACTGGCCGTGTGATTCTGAGACAGAATGGTTTGAAACTCACTTGACAATTATTTATTTTCTTGGAGAAGATCAGGCATTTTTTTTTTTTTTTTATTCTTCAGAAAATTAATCACTCGTGAAGATACCTAAAATTCATGGTCAGAGATATCAGTAATATATCTTCTACTAGGGATTAAAATATACACAAGAAAACATTTTTACAATTCAAGAATTTCTACATGTATAACTTAGGCACCTTGATTAAATTTTTCGTGATGTGCAATCATAATAGATATCTTTTTCTTATTCTACCATCATTAACATAAACTAAATGGCCTCTAAACAATTACTCCCATCTTCTCCATTCTTTCTTTATTGGATATATGGCTCCTGAAATTTTTCTTCCAATTTCTATGCCATATTTTCACTTTCTTGATAAAAAGTCTTTGATAAACAAAAATATGTAATTTACATAAGGTCCCATTTACCTAGTTTGTCTTTTACTGCTCATGCTTTTGTTATCATATCTAATAATCTGAGACAAGCCTCTACATTTTTTCTAAGAATTTTATATTTTTTTGTTTAGGTCCTTAATCCATTTTGAATTAGTTTTTGTGTATGGGGTGAAGCACATATATGATTCATTCTTCTGTAGAGAGTAATCCTGTTTTCTCAGCACCATTTATTGGAGAGAATCTCCTTTCCTTATGGAATGGATTTAGCATCCTTGTTGACTGAAGATGTATGGATTTATTTTTAGAGTCTCAGTTGTACTTCATTGTATATGTTTATTATTTTAACTTTACTACCTACTGTCATCAAGTTAATTCTGACTCATAATCACTCCCATTATCTTTCCAAGTCTGTAAATCTTTAGAGAAGTAGATTTCTTCATATTCCTTCTGCAAAGCAGCTGGTAAGTTTGGACCTGACCTTCTGGTTAGCATCCAAATGCCTTACCCACTATGCCACCAGATCTCCTTAATAGCATCAGGGTGTTTTAATCACTAAAGCTTTATAATGAGTTTTAACATCAGGAAGTATGAGTCCTTCTACATTCTTCTTCAAGATTGCCTTCACTATTTAAGGTTCCTTGCCCTTCCACATAAATTTAGGATTGGCTTCTTCAAATATGAAAAAGGCTTTTCAATTTAGATGGTCATTGAATTTATAAATTGCTTTGCGTAATATTAGTATCTTACCTATATTAAGCCTTCCAATCCATGAAAACAGAATTTCTTTCCATTTATTTTGGTCTTCTTTAATTTCTTTTAGTAATGTTTTCATTTTCTGTGTTCAAATTTTTCACTTCCCTGGTTAAATTTATTCATAGGTACATTAGTATTTTACATGCTATTGCCATAAAGCCATACAATGAGAGAATAGATTTTTTTTTTTTTAACAGAAGTCTCTAGAGCAATGGCACTAGGGAACCCTTTGTGTAAAAACATAAACTTAAAACAAACTATGTTACCATGAATCCTGCTGGCAATACAAAACCATGAACTGTTGATATACCCATCAGTTTGAGTAGATGTGAAGGGCATTATGCTGAATGGAAAAAGTCAATCTCAAAAGATGGCATACTGTATAATTCCATTTATACAACATTCTTGAAATAAAATCATAGCAAGTAAGAAAACTTTAATGATTGCCAAGGATTAGGGTCAGGATAGAAACCAGGGATGGGTGTACATCTTTTAAGAAGCTGGACAAGGTATTTTTTTTGTGGTGATGGAATTGTTTTGTGTGTTGATTGCATGCAGTGGTGGTTATTCTATATGTTGATAAAAGTATATAGAATTATATAAAAGTGTTGAATACAACAATAAATATGTCAGAAAATTGAACTAGTGATTTGCCACTAATTTATGCAAATCTCCAGCAATACATCTCAGAGAAAACAAAACACTTCCTGGGGAATACTAAAGTAATCAAGGGTGTATTCCAAGAAATGTAACATCTTTCTAATAGAAAATCCAGAAAGAATTGAAGAGAAACATAGAAGAGAAGATAAAAAAATAAAATGATAAGGGGAACTTTCTTCACTGAAAACATGAATCTTAAGTTTGAAGGGGCTATCAAGTGCAGAGCAGAAATAATTCAACAAGAAGTTTATGCTTAGTTAAAAACTTAAGATAAGAACATTTGCCAAGCCTCCAGAAAGAAATAGGAAACTCCTATGGCATCTATATAGGAATGAGAAGTAGACTGGCATCAAAATTCTGATAATAATAACTCTATGACTTATCAGTCAATGTTACAATGGGCATAGGATTCTCAGTGAAATACATATTAAATCCAGGATATCTTATCCAGTTCAACTAGTATTTATTATGAAAGCAAAATCATATTCTTTTCATATTTCAAGGACACAAATTATGCATATTTTTAAAAAGTATTACTCAAGGATATA